AGTGAAAGCCAGAAACAGTGAAGGAGATCACTTTGGAGGAGTGGGACTAAAAAGCTGAAAAGTGGGGTTGGAGGCTGCTTTTCATCATAAGCTTTTTAGCACTCCTGGATTGATTTGTTAGGATATGCCTGCCTTACGTTAATAAAAATTTCTAAATGAAATAATAAAAAAATAAAGCAAAATATGACTACTGGGTGATACCTGTATCCGAGGAGAATGGATTCACTGGATAGTTTCACCACAAGGTGAAAAAATTAAGGCAACTGTTGACGGCTCTAACCAGTACAACCCCTGAACGGCCATTTTTTAATATCTATGGACTGCACCTTTCGGTACAGTAATTCTACTTCTGGGAATCTGTTGTACGGAACTAGTGGACAAGTGGGCAAAGATGTACGCAAAAGAAGGTTCCCTACCTCATTGTCTCCAATAGGGAAAAGCCAGGAACACCTCAAAAGGCGAAAATAGAAGACAAATACAACAACTGTGAAAAATCTATATAATGGAATACTATGAGGCCGTTAAAAAATGAGGCAGTCCTGTATGTATTGCCATGGAAAAATACCCAAGTTATAGGATTATGCGAAAAATGTAGTAAATTGTACAGCATCATGCATAGATTAATCCCTTTTTGTTAAAAAAAAAAAAAGTATATGTGAGTATGTTTGAACAGAAAAAATTTGGGAGGATATGCTGCAAATAATGGTTTTCTGGAGGACTGATATTAAAGAGGACTTTCATTTTCTACATTAAAAGCTTCTGTAAAGTTCAATGTGTTTATAAGACACATGTGTCACTCTTACAATTAAAAACTAGTTATAATTGAAACAAGTGTGATGGGTCTCCTCCCATGACAGCGCCCTTTTGGTCATGCAGGGTAGAGAGGGATGAGTATCTGGCTCTGAAGCTTCCCAGGACAGAGAACTGGCCCAGCCTGAGGAAATTCATGAACCAGAAAGCTCCGGGGTTGGGAAATGACTGTAAATGCCCAGGGAGCCAGGAGCCTGCACCAGGAACAGCCAGAATGGATGTCTTGCCAAAGTTCTCCCCCATTCTAGGCGAGAAGGGGGCAGTCCTGGGCTCCTCCCAGACAGGATCTTCCCATCCTCAACAATCTGGGCTCTGGTGAGATGGAGTGAGTGAGCAAACAGACACGAAGACTGACATACACACATGGCACGTGCAGGTACACCCCCCCCCCATTTCACGCACAGACACCCACACAGAACATTCACACACGCGGGTGCTTGCATGCACACAGACCTGGGAGAGGCACCGAGAGATTACATAAACACTGAGATACAAAAAAAGAGAAAGAGAAAGAACCAGAGAGAAAAGTAAAGGAGAGGGAGACAAAGCCCATGCATCCCCATTAGGAACATTCCTTTGGCATATACGCTCAGATCTGAGTCCCATTCTGACCTCCCCATTGGTGGCACCTAGGGTAAATTATGCCTGCTCTCTCAGTTTCGGCTCCTGCAAAAGAAAGCTAATCCTCTTGTTCTCAGGGGGATGCTGTCAGACAATGTGGGAGGATATTGCTGCTGCCCTTCCCTGAGTCTTCCAGGTACGGGGGCCTGCTGACCCAGCCACACTCAGGGCAGAGGTCAGGAGCTGGGTGCTAGGCAGTGAGGGGGTGAAGTGAGGGGTACTCACGGATAGCAGAGGAACAGGAGGTTCAGGAAGGAGTAGGTCCTGAAGAGGTGGATGAGGGAGCGGCACAGACTCCAGCCTGTTGCCGTGAGAACGGTGAAGCGGGTGAGGAACAGCAGGACGGAGCGAAAGAGGGAGACCTTCCCCCTCTGAGAAGCCTGGGTCGGGGCGAGATAGGACAGGATGGGGCCTTGGATGGAGGCCACTGGGGCTGTGCCCACATCCCACCCAGCATGGCCTGTGATCCCACCCAGGGAAACGTGGGGCAGCAGGCTGGGCTGGTGAACCTGGCAAGGTGAATCCTTTTCCTCGATGCCCCATAAACTCCAAGAGTGATGGGATGTAATGTTCTCCAACCAAGTTCAAAGGGAGCCCCAAGGAACTGCCTTAGGCTTGAAGGGCCTGGGATGTTTTCTTGGTACCCCCAGGGGAAAGGGGAGTCCCAAAGTCCCCGGCCAGCCTCTGGGACCCAATCACCTCCTTCACGATGGACCCAATGAAGCGGCGGCCCAGAACGATGGTGGTCACCATCAGCAAGTTGAAGTCGATCAGGTGGAAATTCTGTTGGGGGTGGGCAGAGGCTGGGGGTCACATGGGCCCCCTGCCCATGTACGGGCTTTTTTCATCCCCACCTCCCCCTGCCAAGTCCTTTCCACAGGGACTGTCCCCACTCTCTGACCTTCACAGGCCTCCAGCTGAATCAGGCCAGGAAATTACCTAGAGGAGCAGAACAGGACCGAGAGGAGGGAAGTGGGACAGTCCCAGGAGATAAGAGAGTGGTGTGCAAGCCCTCTTGCTATGATCACCCGTGCACCTGTCCCTGCACCTCTTTCTCGGCATGGAGATCTTTCCACTCCTGAAACTCATGTATGCCCGTGGCTCTTCTCCCCGACAGGACTTAAGATTCTGCGCTCTTTTAGGCAACATCTGTCAGATTTCTCTCTGCTACCTTTCAAATGCCTAACATGGTACTGAGCAACCAGGCGTGAGCGTTCAGGAATCATTCGCTTCCTATTCCTTCTACACTCTCCATTTCCAGCGTGAGGCCAAGTGTCCAGGGTGCTTGGTAAGCTGTGTTAAACTGAAACCAAATGTCACACACACACACACACACACACACACACACACACACAGCTGGTCCTAGCTGGGAACCTACCAGGGAGGTGTGGGAGGGTGGGTGGGAGGGCGGATACCACCACACTGTCTTGTAGATGTTGATGTAGTGAACGAAGAGGGCTATGAGCTGGCAGAAGAAGAGCTGCAACTCAAACAGGATGCTGGCCTGGACTGGCAGCTCGGGGATCTTGCAGTGCTGGAGGGGCACAACCGTCTGGGTGGCCAGGGGCGGGCTGGAGAGGCCCGTCCCAGAACTGCTCCTGGGAGGTGGGCAGGGAAAAACATCAGCAGCTGACCTGAGAACCCCACCAAGAAGGGCTTCCAGGACACAGGGTGGTGGGGTTGGATCAGCAAAGCAGCTCATGGCAAGGATGGGAGTCCTCCTAATCCTGCCCGTCAGACAAAGGAGCCAACAGAGCCTTTTCCTATCCCTAATCTTATTTGGGCTTTCCAACATTCTCCAGGAAGGAAAGAATTATTAGATCCATTTGACAGATGAGGACAAGGAGGCCCAGAGAGGAGAAACAACTCGTTCAAGCCACCGGAAAACCAGGAGCAGGACTGTAACTGGAATCCAGGCCTTTGGGCTTATTACCCTATATCCCACTGCATCTGCCCAAGTGACCACCACTTCTGAGTCTTTTTTTTTTTTTGCTGCTCGCTGTACTCAAACCCCCATCTGACATCTGGAGTATCAAATCCTAGAGCCCAAGCCCAGTGAAGGAGAGCTTTGTTCGTATTGCCCCTGGGAGCCCATAGTGAGGGGAAAGAGACAGAGGTGGTTTACCTGGTGCGAGAACGGACACTGGTGACCGATGCACTGGAAGTATGGCCCCCACCAGAGCCCCCTGAGGATCCTGGCTCACACAGAGGATTTCGACAGTAGGATGTCCTGTTGGGACCTCTTCGTCCTCCTGCGGGACTCAACATAAGGTAGAGCCTCAAGCTAGAGGGCACAGATCAAGGATAATAGCAATACTGGCTACTGATTACCTGGTGCCTCATTCCATCATTAATCACAGAGACCTCTGATCTGGCCCCTGCCTACCTCTTCAGCCTCATCTCCTACCATTCTCTGCCTGGCCTTCATGCTTCAGCCATCCTGTCCTTTCTCTCCTTAAGCAAACCAAACCTGTTGCTACCCGTTGTACTTGCTGTATCCTATCCACAAAGCCCTTCCCTGACTGCCACTTTTAAAGTACCTGCCCCCATAACTCTCTCATTTCTCTTTTTTTCCCACAACAATTCACTCTTGGAATTATCTTATTCATTTGTGAACACATTTATTGTCTGTCTTTCTCACAAGACCAGAAGGTCAGTGAGGTCATTACCCTTATCTGTCTTTTCTACTGCTGTATCCCCTCCTTCCATCACAGTGTCCAGCATAAAGTAAGTGCCCTTACTTTGTGTATGTTGTATGAGTGTATGTTGATGAGTGAATGAACCCAGCAAAGTAGGTCTTCCACAGATTAGGAAACTGAGTTTACACTGTGTCACAGGTAGTTTGGGGTCTGAGGCTTGAGCTCTTAGCTCTGGTGTACACTGCTTTGTTCGGATACTACAAGTCTCTCTAGGCTTAGGATTCTGGGCACCCTTGAAGCCTTTTCCTCCAGAGTCCAAGATCCAGCTCAAAAGGTGTCTCATGGTTGGTCAGGACCAGAGGCTGAGAGCCTGGCGTCTCATGGTCAAGACCACAGCCTGAGCATAGGGTCAAGGATGTGGGCTCTGGGAGAATGCTGTGGTTGTGGACCCAAAACCTATTTCTCTAGGCTTAGCAGTCTAGCCCAAGCTCCCAGGCACCATCCTGCACAAAGGGCCTACACAAAGCTCCGAAGCACCACCCAAGGCCTAATCAAAGTTACAGCTTTGTTCAAACCTCCTCATAGCAACACAGCCTACACACACACACACCCCCACCCCTTGCCCTAGCTTCCCAGCTCAGAAGCTTTTCCCACATGTCTCCAAAAAGTACTTGTCCAGGAGTTCTGCACCCAACCAGCCCCCAACCCAGAAGCCCTGTTCATATACTATTATACCCTATTATACCTGGCTTAAACATCTCACACATGCACCCTCGGTCCAAAAGCTCTGCCCACACCTACTCTCCTCTCTTTAGAAGCGCTACACCCACATAAAGCCCCTGGGCCCAGAAGGCCCCGCCTACACACTGTTGTCAGCCCAGAAAACCCGCCCACAAGCCAATAAAAGCTCTCTCTGCCCAGAAGCCCCGCTCCAGAATGGGCTCCCGTGGTCTGGAAGGTCTCTTTCCCGCCCCATCACCCCAGCGCCAAGCCGCTACAGCCCAGAAAGTTCGCCCCCGCACCAGCGCCAACAGCCCACGAGCTCCACCCCAGCACCAAGGCCCCGCCCACCGCTGAGCCCCGTCCCCACTTCTAGCCCAGGTGAGCGGGTCCCCACCAAAGCCCATGCCCCCACAGGCCCTCTCCATTTTAGAAGTCCCGCCCCCCGCGCCAATGCCCCGCCCCCACAAGCGAGGCCCCACCCCGCAAGACGACAGGAGGGGGCGGGGTCCCTCTGTGCCCCGCATCCCCTCCCCCTTCCCTCGCTGGGATCCTGTCCGCGCGGGGGAGCAGTCAGCATCTTGGCCATCCCGACCCCCACGCCCGCCGGTTCCCCGGCCGAGCCGGAGCCGCTCCGCTCACCCATCTCCTCCCCCCGGCGCTCTCCTCTCCGCCGCCGCAGCTCCTGCGGGCAATATGTCGGAGGCGACGGCGGCCGGGAGAGGACTAACCGCCGCAGCCCAGTCCCCGGGTATCAGCCGCGCGCTCCCGCTGGTCGCCAAATTTGCATACAAGGCGGGCTGGAAGCTGGGGGCGCGCTTCTTAAAGGGGCCGCGCGGACAAAGGCGGTGGCTGCGCGCTCTTTGTCTCGCGGTCCCCTACGCCCTTCCTGCAGCTGCTGCTCCGAGACCCCAGAGGGTGACTTCCGTCACCTCCTGCTCTTCCCGTGCGTGCCTTCTCCCAGCATCTCTTCAGTCCCGAGGGAAGGGGCCGGAACCGCCTCTCGGCTCCTGCCGGAGATGGACTGTATCCAGGAGTGGCCCGCAGGCGCCTCAAACTCAACGCGTCCCAAATTGGGCTTTCGTCTTAGTCTTCGGCCTTATTTTTCTTTGGTCCACCCTGGTCAAAACCTGGGAGTCATTTCCTTCTTTCCCTCGACCCCCACACAACCGATCTTTCACCTAGTTTGGTGGACCCTAGGTCCTAAATCTTTCTTCTGCCATCCCCTTAGTTCAAATCCAGCTTCTGCTCCTTCTGAGCCTTGAAATCTTGTTTCTTGCTCTTTACAACGAGGCTGGTAATATTCACCTTAAAGGTCTTGGTGAGGATTGAATGAGATAACGCATGTAGAACAGGGTCTGTTTTAACAAATGTTAGCCATCATTATTATTAGGTTGCATGGCAAGTACTTAACACAGAGGAAGCACTCAATAAATGAGCTACTACTACGAACCGTTAGGACTTCTTCCCTCACAAGACCTATAAACTGTCTTAATCACCTGGTAGCTCCATGGCTTAGCGCAGTGCTTGGCACATAATAGACATCAGTATTCAATTAATTGAATGAATTAGCAGATATTTAATTAATAGATACTCACAGAGCTTACAGTCAAGTGGGAGGAGATGGACATAAAATTAGTAAATTCTGTAGCATGTTAGAAGGGAATGATTGTTGTGGAGGTAAACAGGAAAGGGGGATGGGAGTTTGCAATTTTAAACAGGACAGTCAGAGTAGGCTTCTCTGAGAAGGTGACTTTTGTCCAAACACTTGAAGGAAATGAGTGAGTCAGTCATACAGCTATCCAGAGAAAAGGGGTATTCCAGGCAGAGGGAAAAATCAGTGGAAGGGCCATCAGGTATGAACACGGCTAGTGTGTTTAAGAAACAGCAAGGAGGTCAGTGTAGCTTGGCTGGAATAGACATGAGAGTGGGACATGAGAAGGGGTGGACCATATAGAGTTCCTCATTACTCTGAATGAGATGGGGAACTATTGGAGGGTTTGAACTTTTTTTTTTTAAGATTTTATTTATTTATTTGGGAGAGAGTGAGAGAACGAGAAAGACTGAGAGAACCAGTGGAGGGAGGGACGGAGGGAGAAGCCAACTCCCTGCGGAGCTGGGAGCCTGTCATGGGACTCGATCCCAGGACCCTGGGATTATGACCTAGCCGAAGGCAGATGCTTAACTGAGCCACCCAGGAGACCTGAACTTTCATTTTTATTTTATTTTTTAATTAATTTTATTTTTTTAAAGATTTTATTTATTTGACAGAGAGGGACACAGCGAGAGAGGGAACACAAGCAGGGGGAGTGGGAGAGGGAGAAGCAGGCTTCCCGCGGAGCAGGGAGCCCGATGTGGGGCTCGATCCCAGGACCCTGGGATCATGACCTGAGCCGAAGGCAGACGCTTAACGACTGAGCCACCCAGGCGCCCCATGAACTTTCATTTTTAAAGAATCACTCTGGCTGCTGTGTAAGAATAGACTGCAGAGGCACAAGGGTAGAAGCAAGGAGACCAGACAGAAGATATGGCAATGATTTTAGCAAGAGATGTTGATGGATTGTACCAGATTGAGTGAGGGAGATGTGTTGGATTCTGGATTTGAAGGTAAAGTCAATAGGATTTGTGGACAGATTGGATAGGTGTGTGGAAGAAAGACAAGATTGAGTATTACTCCAAGGTTTGTAGCCTAGGCAAATGGAAATGTGAAATTTAATTCAACACATATACATCTATTAAATTATAGATTTTACACCAAGTTAGGCCTTCCCTTCTGGAGGAATAGAGGCCCAGAGAGGGAGAATGACCAGCTCACAATGTAACGTAGAAACCAGGGCTGAGATTTCTTTTTCCAGCCAAAGAAATTCTGGTAGAAGAGCTGGCTCTGACCTCTTTAGACTGCTGAGTTTGAAAGGTACCTTGTTAATTTCTGAATTGCCAAAGCCCAACACTATCTGGCATGTGATAGGCATTCAAATGTGTATTAGTTCAGTTGAATTCAGGTAGTGGCAAACTAGCTCTTAAAAGGAAACTCAATTGGGAAGGAAAGCTAAATGGTTTCGGGAATAGTCCATAAAAGACTGAAGCTGGGCCATTCCTGGGAACTCATTTTTGAGCATCTATTATATAGCGGGCACTGCGGATTCCGAGGTGCCACTCATCATTGGGAGAGACAGAGAGGAGAACCAATAAATGATGACACAGTGTGTTGTACCAAGTCCAGAGGTGGACGGAGGGTGACTAACTCTGACAGGGGAGGTAGTCCAGAGAAGGCTTCATGGAAGATGACATCAGAGCTGGTTTCTGAGAGAGGAAAAAGAGTTGGCCTGTCATGCTCCTATGGGAGGAAGCGATAGCTCGGGGCTGGTAAATTCCCTTATGGGGGCTGGTGGCAGGGGCGTGTCTTGCTGTCCATCTATTATGTGGAAGGGTGCTGGACCTTGTACATGGCAGATACTCAGGAAATGTTTGCTTAATTGATTTGAGGGCATTCATACAACCCAGTGACCCAGTGTAAGAGGGTAAAGCCACTCAGATGGGCTGCTGTGCATGTAACTCATTATCTGGGGCTCCTGCCCACCTTGAACAGGTTGATTTTGCCTGCCCAACATCCATTCTTCCTTCTGGTTAGAACACTTTGATTTTCCCTTGGGGAACTACCCTTCCTCCCACGCTCTCCGTCCATGTGGTCTGGTGGGGCTGCCTTACTCTGCAGTTCCAGTGTGGGCAGATAACCCTGGCCTGGTGAATCAAAGCATTCCATCCCTGCCACTCTAGGCCGCAGTGACTGGTTTTGGGGAGGGGGAGGGATTAGTGACTCTAGCCAGGCCAAATGAGATGCAATGCAATCCTAGGACCTTTGCTGGAACAATTGGGAAATAATTTCCTCCCCTCTGGGATGGCTAAGCCAGCGAGATATAAACTTGGAGCTTTGTGGTGCCTATGTTGCCACCTTTTAAGGAGGTAGAATTTAGACAATGAAGGAAATACAGAAAAGTGAAAAAATCAGTAGACACAGTCTTGATAGCATCATTTGAACCCCTGGATCCAGCGATACCTGAATCCTTGTGGACTTGAAAAAAAATTTATTTACTTATTTTTGCAGGGGAGGGGAGGAGCAGAGGGAGAGGGAGAGAGAGAATCCGAAGCGGCCTCACAGCTGAGCGTGGAGCCAACACTGGGCTCAATCCCATGACCCCGAGACCGTGACCTGAACTGAAATCAAGAGTGGGACCCTTAACTGACTGAGCCACCCAGGTACTCCTGGACTTTTTCTATTACAAAAAGCCAGTTCGTGTTTGGTGTCTGACAACTGCAGCTGAAATAATCCAGAACGATGTACACTTCTGTCCCAGTATCCAGCAGTAGTATCCAGGGTCCTAGTCTTTTCACATCCGCCTTCTACAGGATCCCTGGGGAAGAGAATCAGAAGATGGCAGGATGTTGGTTAGGTTCTTGTTTTCCAGATCTGTGGCCACATGTTTTGCGACCCTGAAGCCCTCACTTCCTTTCTTTGCATCTTCATTTCCTAATTAACTTGCTCTCTATTGGTTCTTCCAGGAGTCTGGATTTTTGAGGAAATGCCACTGGCTCTGGGCCAGCCCTGTGTCATTGGGTGTCAAGAGTTGGGATCTCTTCCTTGGTCACGTTATTCTGGGGCCATGGCTGGCAATTCTGTCCTCTGGATCAGTAGTTTTCTACCTGGATTCTGTAGACCTCAAGTGGCACCCAGTGGGGGTGCTGAAACCACAGGATAAAACACATACTACTTTCTGGAGTGTCAGTTTTATTCATGAAAACATGAGGCAATATTTTCAATATTTAGGTGTCGTTATTCAGAGCACCTTCTCTGCGCCAGTCTTAGAATCAAATCCTGGCTCCACCACTTACAAGCTTCATGACCTTAAGGAGTTCCTTAACTTCCCTGTGCCTCAGTTTTCTCAGTGTCAATTAGTATTAGTACCTGTATTAGTATTAGTAGGGTAGTATTAGTACCTGTCTTAGGAGATTATGGTGAAGATTAGTCTGTGGAAAGTACTTAGAACAATGCCTGGTGAAGGGGCGCCTGGGTGGCTCAGTCGGTTGAGCGGCTGCCTTCGGCTCAGGTCGTGATCCCGGGGTCCTGGGATCGAGCCCCACGTCGGGCTCCCTGCTCAGTGGAGAGCCTGCTTCTCCCTCTCCCTCTGCCTGCCTCTCTGCCTACTTGTGGTCTCTCTCTCTCTGTCAAATAAATAAATAAAATCTTAAAAAAAAAAAAAAAGAACAGTGCCTGGTGCACAGTAAGTGCTATTTAAGTTTTACTTACTATCGTTATAACACAGATCTATCATGAAGTACAAAGAAAACTAATGTGAATTTAAGATTGAAGACTTTGAAGGAATGTCATCGTAGCTCTGTTCCAGCTTTGCAGGGGTTGGCTCTTTCTTCTGACAGCAAGAATACTTACACCTGATTTTTATTACAAGTGCCAAAAGAGAATCCATGTGTCTTCATGTTTTTCTAATTTCCTGAGCCATTCTTACTTCCACGTATATGTTAGTCTCCCCGTCTAACTTTCTCCATCTCAGAGCCACCCACCCACCTGTACTTACCCGGACATTTGTCTTCCCATGTCTTATAGTATTTGATTATTACAAAGATAATAAGTGCAAGCCTTAGAAAATACTGTATTTCTTGTTTAGGTGTTCAAAAACGAACAGGATTTGGGTAGGTAATGTACATGGGTGAGGATGGAGTGGGCAATGAAGATACAGAGAACAGCATGAGCAAAGGCCCAGAGGCAAGCTATGTTCTAGAAGAGCAAGTCCATTTCAGCTTGAGAGTAATTGAAGATGGGGTTGAAAAAATAGGTTAAGTTCTTGAATGCTACATACAGTGAAGAGTTTGGACTTGGTTATACTTTTCTAAGTCTGTTTCCTCAGTAAAATGAGGATGATTCCTGTCATTGAATTGTTGTGATTAATGACAAAAGCAAACAGGTGGGAGAGATAGCTTATGTAAGAAATGGAATGAGGGGCACCTGGGTGGCTCAGTCAGTTAAGCGTCTGACTCTTGACCCTCAGGGCGTGATCTCAGGGTTGTGAGATCAAGTACTGAGTTGGGTACTGCTTTGGGCGTGGAGCCTGTTTGGGACTCTCTCTTTCCCTCTCCCTCTGCCCCCACCCCCCACTCTCTCTCAAAACAAAACAAAACAAAAAGAAATGGAATGATTGTCATTAGGAGCTGGGGACAAGGATTCTTCTCTCCTTGGTATAAAGCCAACCATCCCACCTCAGAGTGGCCTGCAATTTAGTCTCACTTTTGAGATCTTATTTTCCTTCAGTGCACATCTCAACCACCAGAGGGAGCTTGGCACAAAGGAATCACAGCTCCGAGCTCAACAGGACAATTGTGGTGGGCCCGGTTGGACAGGGGATATGGAATCCTGGACCCGATCCAGAGTCTTAATGGTATGAATGGGGCATGGACCCAGGTGCCCCCCTCTCTGGCTCTCTTTTCTTTATTAGACCCATCCCAAGGAGGGGTGAGGCATGCTGCCACAACCTAGCGGTTAGATCTAAGATGTAAGATCTCTAGACAGGGGGTAGAGGATGAGGGCCAGATCTAATCTGGGGATGGGGGGCGGGTCTGAGTTTCTGTATCTCAAGCCAAAAAGGCCTTCATCAACTCTGCTCATACGTCACTGGGCCCAACTCCTTGCTAGAACACCCTGTGCCCGGCCAGGTAGTCCAGCTAGACCTGGGAACTGTAGAAAAGTAGCCAGTGCTGCAGCCTGAGGAAGGGGACGGGAGAGGCAGGGCCCTATCTGACAGTCCGTCTTTGGAGTGGCATCCACATTGCCCTGGGACTCCAGCCGTTAGGTCTAACAGAAAGGGTTATGCGGCCTGGCTTCTCCAGTCACAACTAACCTAGTATTTCATAGGATTTTTGTAAAACCTCCTTTGCTTTGTCTTCTGGCGCTGAGTTAAACAGGGACTTTTCTGATACGGATGTTCAAACGAAGGCCCAGAGACACTTAGCAATTTACCCAAGATCACGTAGCACTCCAGGGCAGAGCTGGGCCTGGAAGCAGCGGGATCGACTCTGAGGGCGCCGGGAAAGGGAAGGCAGGCAGACAGAGCAACAGCCTTCAGAACCTGCTGCAACGAGCACCAGCTCTTGGCCAGACTTCATAACCGCCCCTCGAGAGCCCGCTCTGTTGCTAGGCCCCAGGCTGCCAGCCCCACACTTCCACCCCGGTCCCCTGAGAGCCCCTCACCCTGGCAACAGCCAGAGGAAGGCCCAGCTCAAATATTTATGGCTCAAAACAGCTCAGAGGCTTCAGCTGGGGGGAGGGCGGAGGGTTGACGTCATCCCTTCTCTGCTTGCAGGGGAGGTGACTGAAAGGCGGGGCAGCTGGGTGGGGGGGCCGAGGCCACTAGGTCAGGGCTCTCAAAGGAAGATCCCTAGGGCTGCAAGCGGTAACCGGAGGAGGGAGGAGGCTGTATGTATGTGACAGACGTGACAGGTGGACAGGACTTGGGGAAGAAACACAAGCCGGAAGAAAGGAGAAAGGAAACTTAAGCGTTTGAGCAGTATTATATGTAGACCTCGTGTTAGGTGTTTCATACCCATTTCATTTGTTTCTCAGATCCTGCAGAGTGGACGAGGATTATTAGCCTACTTTTAGGAGTAAACAGGCCTAGAAAAATACACACCAAGTGATGAGCTAGGATTTGAATGCAGGATTTGGCTTTAGCTCCACGAGCTTTACTGTAATTCCGTGGCTCCCAAGTAGATACCCCCGCATCTGGGGGTGGAGGGTGTGGCTGCCCAGGAAAGGACTGCTGGCTTTCAGATAGTGACCCAGGCTCTGTGGCTCCATTTATCATTCAGATGCCATCTGAATCCCGGACTCCCTGCGCCAAACTACGCCCCAGCCTGCTGAACCTGCAGCAAGTCCTCAAATAAAGGATAAGATAAAGGAACTCTAGCCACCAGGTGAGGACCAGGTCTGGACCACGAGTCTCAATACAAATAATTTGACAAATGCATCTCGGTTTGCCTGGGACTCTCCTGGTTTGGGCACAGGAAATTTCTCTGTCTTGAGTAAACCTGGATAAGGTTTGTCACCATATATGAATCTCTCACACAAACACAAATGCTTTCCTGTTTCAAAGTACTTGTGGTGGTGAGAGGTACGGGTGAAAAGCGGGACTATGAAGACTGACAGCTGCTTCTTTTAGCCTTATACAAGTTATTTATCCTCCTTGAGCTTCAGTTTCCTCATCTGTAAAACGAGTATCATGGGTTGGAAGATTAAGTGAAATTGTGCAAATAAACGCTCGACATAGTGCCTGCTATATATTAAGCACTTAATAAATTATTAGCTATCATTTATAATAATCAGTAATGAAGATGGAAATGGGCTCAGAGGTTTACTAACTTGCCCAGAGTAAATCAACTGATTTCAACATCCTTTTCCTGCTAAGGATGCATCCCAGCTCATTAGAATGCCCCAGGCACAGCTAAAATGCAGACAGTCTCTCTTCCCAAACTCAGCCCTTCTCCTGGTTCCCTTGTTAGGATAAATGACCAGAAGAGTTATTTTATTAAAGGAAGAGTATAATATTAGACATCCCTAACCTCTCAGGAAGCTCAGTATGAAATCAGCCTAGACATAGGCCACAGGAAACTGGAAGTCTATCAAAGGCTGACTTTCCAATCCTTCGAGAGAACGTGTTAGGACAGACAGCTAGCTCAATATAGTTGGAAGAGAAGGAGCTAGGCAAGGGGCCTTTGGCTCTTTCCCAAAGCTGACAGAAGCTACCAGAGTGGGACCATTCTTCACTTGACCAAATCTTTTATTGAGCTCCTCAGTGCCAGGTATTTGCTGGGGAAGGGATAGAGTACAGAGGTGAAATGGAAAAGCCCTACTCTTCAAGAGCCTTTTAGACAAGGGGGCGCCTGGGTGGCTCAGTCGTTAAGCGTCTGCCTTCGGCTCAGGTCATGATCCCAGGGTCCTGGGATCGAGCCCCACATCGGGCTCCCTGCTCCGCGGGAAGCCTGCTTCTCCCTCTCCCACTCCCCCTGCCTGTGTTCCCTCTCTCGCTGTCTCTCTGTCAAATAAATAAATAAAATCTTTAAAAAAAAAAGAGCCTTTTAGACAAGGTTAGTAATCAACAATGAAGAGAAAAACAGGCTCAGAGGTTAAATAACTTGTTCAAAGTAAATAAACCTTCTCACTTGGCTTTCTTCTGCCTGTAACAGAGGTGACAACCAGCCTTGTCCTGGGAACCCTCCGGAGGTGCCCAAGGGCTCCTGGGCTGGCACCTACAATGCAGGTGTGGGAAGGTGGGAAGGAAAAGGTGGAGGTAGTGTGTTCCAGCCAGTTCTGCTGGAGGCTAAGGGGAAGCAGGCAAAATAGGAGTGACACAGTGGGAGATGCCAGTTTATTCAGATCTAGGAGGCTGTGCTTGGGATGCCATTAGTCCCCTTCAACTCTTTAAAGTCCTGAGCAGGTTTAATTGTTAGCATCACAGCCCCCTGCAGCCCTGAGGACTCCATTCTGGGCCTAGAGACTCTCTTAGGGGATCCTGGCTGGCTTTCTGTATGCAAATCAGACAGATCAAGAAGTAGAGTGGGAAAAGACTGTTGATCTCTCCTGCGTTTCTCTGTGCTCAGCAAATGCCCTCAGGCCAGCCTTGACACAGCAGGCAGCTCTCCTGGTTTCCGGAGTCCTCTGATCACTGCAAAGACACAGGTAGAAAATTAGACACGAAGCTACCCTATCAAGGGGCTTCCTAGCCTCCCATTTGGCCAGGGTGCCCCCCCTTACAATCTCCCCATCCCATGGCACAACTTTAGTTATTTCATTCCGTACAGGTTTCTAGGTGCACAGATGGGTAGGCAATAGAAGTCCACAGCCTAACAGCTGTCTTTTTTGCTGTTGGTCGGGCAATGAGAATGGATTCTCACTTCATATACCTCCCATCCTTAGCCATGCCTAAGCTGAGTGATCCAGGGCAGAATCAACTAAGCCACTGGAGCCTTTAGCTATTCAAACTTTGGGGCCTCCAGCTCTACAAAAGGGAAAATGATTTCTGCTCTCCCAGAGATGTGAAAAAGATAAAGATTAACAAAGAGCTTTAAAGCCTTTGGAGGAGGGGCGCCTGGGTGGCTCAGTTGGTTAAGCATCTATCTTTGATTCAGGTCATGGTCCAGGGGTCCTGCGATCCAGCCCCGTGTCAGGCTCCCTGCTCAGCAGGGAGTCTGCTTTTCCCTCTCCCTCTGCCTGCCCCACCCCCCCACTTGTGCTCTCTCTAAAGTAAATAAATAAAATCTTTAAAAAAAAAACAAAACATAAAGCCTTTGGAGGAAAGAGAATGAGGAAATAGTCATCTTCTTACAGCTATTATTAGCACCTCAGTCCTAGGCTCAGTGGGGCATCTCCTCTGGCCTTTTGAGGGGTTCATCCCAGCTCCAAATACTCAGGGTTATCTGCAGGAGACACACATCTGAAGCCTGGGGCACATGCCAAAGCCTGCAGCAGTGCTCCCATTCTGTTAACATATGGTGCCCCCATTCTGCCAGTTGTTCCAGCCAGTAACTGGAGGAGCCCCCCCTTAGTCAAGCCCTTCTCTCCCACATTAATCAGCCACCAAATGATGTTTATGGTAGCTCTGAAAAGTCCTTGGATCCAGTCACTTCTCCACATTTTCATTGGTATCACCCTACTTACTATAGGTCTTCCTCATTTCTCGTCTGGACTAACACAAAGTTTCTTAATAGGTCCTCATAATCCATAATCCATTTTCCACTCAGGAGCAAGTGAAGTTTAAATTTAATCATGTTGTTCCGCACACCTCACTCCTGGATTCAGTGGTCTTCAGTGTTGACCTTAGAGTAAGGGCCAGGTTCCTACCTCACCTTGAACCTGCCTCAGTCCCACCCTCTGCCTAGAATGTGCTTTGTGTCCTTGCCCCAAACCATTTCATAAACCCTCTAACTAACTCTTCCTTTAGAGGTCAGCTTAAACAGCATTTCCTCAAAGAGAACCCCTGGGCTAGGCTGGGCTGCCTGGTGTCTGTCCTCATACAACTCTGTTCCTTTCTTTCATAGCTCTTATCACAACTAAAATGATATATGTTATTTATGAGACTAACATCTCTTTATCATGTCTCCTCAAATATAAGCTCATGAAGTCAGGAACCAATTTTACCTTATTTGCCACTGAATCTCCAGTATCTAGCACATAGTAGGTGTTCCAATTTATATTAGCCAACGTGTTTAATAAAATTGGGGCACCTGGATGGCTCAGTCCGTTGAGCAGCTGAATCTTGATTTTATCTCAGATCATGATCTCAGGGTCATGGGATTGAGCCCTGTGTCAGGCTCTGTGCTCAATGGGGAGTCTGCTTGAGGATTCTCTCTCTCTCTCCCTCTGCCCATCCCCCTGCTCACACTTTCTCGCAAATAAATGAAAAAATAAAATGAATGAATAAAAATCTTTAAAAAAAATAAAATGAATGAAAGGGGGCATTTATATTAACCTCTGGAGAGAAGCTTATGATGAATCCTATCAGAGCACAAGGTATTTCTTTCTCAAAGGCAGATGTAGAGCTTGTTTCTGAATTCCAACCTCAGAGAGCCTGAGAAATGGGGAGCACCTGTTCTATACCTAAAGCTAGGCCACGAATGGGAAGCATGAAGGCTGCAGGAGCTAAAAGCCCCTGGGAGGAATTAGCTCTATCTGAACCCAAACTCTTCTATCTCAAGTTCTCACACCACAGTGTCTGGGAAGAAGAGACTGAGGTGGACTAAGTGGGCTCCAGAGGTTGACAAGGGAACAGTTAATTCAGACATCTTAATGCAGTTTTAAGAACAGGAGTAGTCTCCCAATTTCTGGCATTGTGTTCTACTTAAGTGACTGATCTGGGCAGGCAGCCTGGCTGTGCGTCATCCTCTGCCTGGAAACCTCTCAAATGAGTTGTCTTTTTTCAGGAGTCCCCATATCCTCCCCAAGTTTGCCCTGGAACGGACAAGGCCTCCTGGAAGCGACAAGCTCCCTAGGTCTAGGTGGGGAGAAGCACTGGGATAGCTTGTGTTCCTACCGGAAAACTCCTACCTGCCCATCTCCTGCCTGAGACACCAGCCTAAGACACTCACCACAGCAGTACACCTCCTGCCAAGAGGATGCTGCGTTTGTAGTCAAGGAATGTCAAGAAGCTAAACTCCAGCAGCATGGTTATGAAATTTAAGTCCCTTCCAGATACAAGTCTCCTTCCTCTTAGAATAGAGACCCATGGTTGGCAGAACACTGGCTGAGAACATGTCCTCAGCCCCAGTGCGAGAACAGGTTAGAGAGTAGAAGATTTTCAGCCCAGGGGTTAGAAAATTGATTTATTTTTTTTTTTTTAAAGATTTTATTTATTTGGTGGTGGGGGAGAAGGAGAGGAAGAGAATCTCAAGCAGACTCCCTGCCAAGTTTGGAGCCCAAGATGGGGCTCAATCTCATGACCCCAAGATCATGACCCAAGCCGAAACCAACAGTTGGACACCCAACTGAGCCACACAGGCACCCCAGAAAATTGACTTTAGAGGTCAGTGAACTTATCTGCTCCTTATTACCCCCTAAAAAGGTTTGGTCTGCTGCCTAAAGGCAGCCTCCTTGGAAGCCCAGGGAGCAATCAGGCCACGACAGAACTAGGGTCCAGTGGCCACCATAGGCCTTTGCTCCTAAGGGGCCTACAAGGGCGAGCTCAGGGAACAAGAGAACAAGTAGTTAGGCTGGGCAGTGCACTTCCTCCCCTCCCCCCCCCAACAGCTGCTGTCTCAGACAGCTGTATTCAGCCTGTCTGCTCAGGCTATTAGTCATCAGATGCTTGCTAGCTTTAAACATGTAAAGACTATTAATCCAGAGAGCAAGAGGTACATGAAGGTTCTGGAGAGAGAAAGGGAAGGCTTAGAAGGATCTGTTTCTCTTAACTTCAGGA